GAGTTAAATATGACGGACTGACTCGATGATACAGTATTTGCCGCTTTTTTTTTATTGCTTGGATGGGTGGACGAGCTCACAGCCCACCCGGTGTTAAGTTACTGGAGCCCATAGACATCTACAACGTAAATGCGCCACCCACCTTGAGCTATAAGTTCTAAGGTCTCAGTATAGTTACAACGGCCGCCCCACCCTTCAAACCGAAACGCATTACTGTTTCACGGCAGAAATAGGCAAGGCGGTGGTACCTACCCGTGAATCACAAGAGGTCCTACCACCAGTAATAACGCAAATTATAATTTTGCGGATTTGATTTATACAACACGGTGTTATTCTTTCGCCGTGGAAGTCAATCGTGAACATTTGTTAAGTACGTACTTCATTAGAAAAATTGGTACCCGCCTGCGGGATTCGAACACCGGTACATCGCTACACACGAGTGTACCGAACGTCTTATCCTTTAGGCCACGTCGACTCATCGATGTTCTAATGTAGTTTGTGAAGAGTGCTCAGTGGTATGAGTTGGTTTGGCTATGCCCTTGTCTTTACTGCTGTCTACGAGAAACGGTGAATACTCGAAACACATGACATGTTCTTCTTCAAACGAGTCTTGTGGAGAGTACTTTACGGTAGGCAGCGAGTAATTAACGGTAGGCAGAGAGTACTTAACGGCTTGGCTCTGCCCCTGGCATTGCTGACGTCCATGGACAGTAACCACTCACCATCCGGTGGGCCGTAAGCTTTTCTGCCAATCTATACTATAATATTATAAAGAGGAAAGATTTGTTTGTTTGTTTTGTTTGTATTGAATAGGCTCCGAAACTACTGAACCGATTTGAAAAATTCTTTCACTGTTTGGAAGCTACACTATTCCCGAGCGACATAGGTTATGAACCTTTTTGAAAAAAATTAGGAATCCTTACTAAAACTCCAATAATGTAACCCAAAGTGAAAAAAAATTACCTAAAATATTCTTTACATCGCGTGCCCTGCGAAAGCTATTGATGATAGAATAAAATAGTGTACTACGACTTTGTAGAACACATTATTATTTACAGAAAGTGTCGCGACAGCATATGTCTAACTATTATACTCATGCCACAATAAGTGTTCTTTTATTTAAAAAAATAAAACAACGTCAAATATCGTTGAAATTTTTGTTAAAGACCCGAGCGGAGCCGGAGCGGGCCGCTTGTAAAAAAATAAAAACACATGGGCAGTATACTCGCCTGTCTGCAAAGGGCGCTGAAAACCTTTGACATTACGTTTAAAGTTAGAAAATTGAATAAACCATAAAATTCCTTTTAATAACTCATCTCCCATAAATTTCTAGAAGACTGTGTCACCATTTGTATTAAGGTCGGACAGGTCATTAACCTAATTACTTCGAAAGCTAATTAGACTTTGTATAATGAGACGAATATCACTTAGTGTCTTAATGAAATTAATATCTAATTACTTTAATTGTCATTGTCGAAGCCTTCGACTGCGGTCTTCGTGAACTCAAAATTGAGAACAATTTTTCTTTTATCAATTGGAATTTTTATAATAATCTACTAATGAATTATCCGTGATGCACTTATGTGTTTCCGTTTGAAGAGTCTGGACAGCCGTCATAAAGATTAGATATATAGATAAGTTAGGTTATTGAGTATAGTTATTATTACTATAAGTTTTCGGTAGCTTAAGATAAAAAAAAATCTCTACCTATACGCTGATAGCCGTAAGGACTATTTCAGCTACGGACGGGTAGGTGAGCTCACGGGCTCAACCTTTTATTTGTGGAACGAATTTCCTTATGGGACGATGCGGAGGGGTACCCTAACCGGGAAAAAACGTCCGTAACGTAAGATTTTTATTAGTAATGCACACAGTGTACGAATTAACTTTGTAATAACGTACAAAAAAATAACATATTTTTTTATCATTCATTGACCACGATCTCAGAGCGTTCGTTTGCGCAATACACTAACTCTTATGCAAACAACCGTGAATGAAGTGTACCACAATAAGTTCGTACGTTACCGAATGACCGTGGGTTGTTGCGAAACCTCTAGTTTTATTTTCTTTATACCTCGAATAGAACTTTAAATTAATATTTTTATAATAAGGAACTTCGTTCCTATCCGGTGTCCCACGACGCCACACATATTTTTTATTTATTTTTATTGCTTATATGGGTGGTTGAGCTCACAGCCCACATAATTGTTGAGTGGTTACTGGAGCCCATAGACATCTACAACGTAAATGCGCCACCCACTTTGAGATATCAGTTCTTAGCTCTCAAGTATAGTTACAACGGCTGCCCCGCCCTTCAAACCGAAACGCATTACTGCTTCACGACAGAAATAGGCAGGATGGTGGTACCTATCCGCGCGGACTCATAAGAGGTCCTACCACCAGGTTACTAATACTAGCCTCAGCAAGAGCAGCGTTTCGCAGGAAAATTAGGTAGGCCGTAACCTCATTGACTAATCAATACATTAAATAGTATTCAGTAATTTATCCATGCTAGTTATAGAAACAGTAAAAGAAAAAGTTTCTCGAATTCTTGTACGCTTTGCGCTTCTAGCCGTCTCGAAGCCAATCTTCGACTTTTAACGAACCGTGAAAGATTATTTTTTAAGTGACCGACCCGTTTCGTCGGAGCTTAAAATAAGCTTCGATTTCTTTCGAACGAAAAAGAAGAAAAAGAAAAAACTTTGTATTTCGTCTTTACGTTTTTCGATAATCGTGTTATTATTATCGTCGTTTTATTATTGAGTTTAGCTTTTTTAGCGGGTTTAAATAACTTTTTTTCATTAAGTCGAATTGACGAAGCAAACCCTTCAAATGCCAAAACATCCAAATTCGAGCTTCTGCTCGTAGCTAGCTCTCGTTACAGTGATTATTGACGCGGTCTGCGTCAATGGTCGCCCGGAGCGGTCTGATTCCACGGATTTAATTGTAAGACATGAAATAGATGTTTTTTTTTTGTAATTTCCTTACAGGAAACATAGGTACACGAAAAATCTGCCGTCAATTATTTTCTAACTTAGCAAAAACTAATCAAAATTAATCTGATTGAATGAAATCTATTACTGGTGGTAGGACCTCTTGTGAGTCCACACGAGTAGGTACCACCACCCTGCCTATTTCTGCCGTGAAGCAGTAATGCGTTTCGGTTTGAAGGGTGGGGCAGCCGTTGTAACTGTACTGAGTCTTTATAGCTCTTATCTCAAGTTGGGTGGCGGCATTTACGTTGTAGATGTCTATGGGCTCCGATAACCACTTAACACCAGGTGGGCCGTGAGCTCGTTCACCCTTCTAAGCAACCAATACGACTATTATTTTTCGAATGTATTACAATATGTAATTAGGTAATACAATTTACCACTAATTGAAGTTAAATTTGTGGCAAATAAGATACAGCTGAAGCTACTTCGTAAAGCAGTGCTCCATGCCAAATAATTTACATAATCAGTGCTGTATTTTTAATAATTTCATGGATGTACATTGCTGCGGACGCTATTTTTTTAAACTTATATTATTCGCCATATATCCAGGAGCGAGTTTCACAATGAATAAATAACATTGTGTAGAATAAACTTACATCTGTTTTTCTTTTTTGAAGGTCGCGAATCAAAGCAGTTTTAAATAGCTCAGACGAATAAAACATATCTCTGATACGCATGTCACCTGTATTAATAAATTTATTGTAACACACAACTCGACGAGTTAATAGGAAATCGGAGATGCATTGGTTTAACGTTCGTCTGGTGTAGTGGTAAGTGACATGGTCACTACACTAGGGGGTCGCGGGTTCGAATCCCGCCAAGGGAAGATATTTGTATGATAAATATAAATGTCTTTTCCAGGGTTATGGATGTATATTAAATATATGTATGTGTATAATAAAAATCTTACATTTATTTCCGATATCTGGTACCTGTAACACAAGTTATTTACGAACTTATCACGGGACCAGTTAACGTGGCGTGATTGTTAGTAAAATATTTATTATATTTATATTTATTGGTTTTGTGTATATACAAATGTGATTCCGTGTTTCTATCTAAAAAAAAACCCTACCTAAGCTGGTAGCCTTGAGAGGCTTTTTTTATTGCTTAGATGGGTGGACGAGCTCACAGCCCAGCTGGTTTTTAAATGGTTACCGGAGCCCATCGACATCTATAACGTAAATGCCGCCACATACCTTGAGATATAAGTTCTAAGGTCTCAAGTATAGTTACAGCGGCTGCTCCACCCCTCAAACCGAAACGCATTACTGTTTCACGGCAGAAATAGGCAGAGTGGTGGTACTTACCCGTGCGGACCCACAAGAGGCAAATTATAATGTTGTGGGTTTGATTTTTACAACACGGTGCTATTCTTTCACCGTGGAAGTCAATCGTGAACATTTTTTGAGTACGTATTTCATTAGAAAAATTGGTACCCCACAACGACCAGCGTAACCGAATGAGTAGGTAATCTCTCAGGGCTCTGGGAGCGTTGCTAACACTAGCCCAAGCAAGAGCAGTGCTTCGCAGAATCTACCACCGGATTGGAAACGCGACCCACTGAGAAGATCCGGCGAGAAACTCAGTGGGCTGTGTCTATGGGTTAATTCGCTCGTCGAGCCCTTCGTCGCCAGCGACGGGTTCGACGAGGACGGTGACCGATGCTTGTGGTGCCTAAAAGCACCGTTAATGGATCAGGAGGATCCGTAATGACGTGCTTTGGGCGACGTGGACTGTTTACCATTCGGTCTACAGGATCGGGTATATAGTAAAGTATATGCGAGCTATGAACGCCTCTATTAAACATATAAAGAGCCAATAGATCGAGTGTCTAGTATGAGTAAGCAAACACGTGAGGAGATCGAAAGTGGACAAGGATAATGGCATGGTGATGGGATGATGACAGTGTCATGTCGTTTGTCGTCACGGTATTGGGTTCGATATCACGGCTTCAGATGTTTCAGATCAATAAATAATAAAACCCTGTTTTATTGTTCCCAGGTGAAAATCCGGCGGCAATGCAGTCATCATCACCGAGCCCCTTCGGATTCGAAATCCAAAGTTGCTTATTTCTAACAGTAACCCGCTTTATTATACAGCGGTGACAATCATTACCGTAATAGCCTAGATTATCGTTAAACTAAAATATATTTTATATGTTAGCCGAGAGGGACTGTTTTAGCGTGGATCGAAGTCATTCTGGCTGTGATTGTCAAAGTTCAGAACGTTTGTATATTAATCGGGTATTTGTACTCTCGCCATTAGACGCATAAGGTCGTATTTTTCTTTTCTCTTATAAAAAATAGGCTTAAATGATGTCGTGTTTTTGTCATATTTAAACTGACACTATAATCGTTTTTATTTTTAATGCTTAGATGGGTGGACGAGCTCACAGCCCACCTGGTGTTAAGTGGTTACTGGAGCCCATAGAAATCTACAACGTAAATGCGCCGCCCACCTTGAGATTTAAGTTCTAAGGTCTCTGTATAGTTACAACGGCTACCCCACCCTTCAAACCCTTCACGGCAGAAATAGACGGGGTGGTGGTACCTACCCGTGCGGGCTCACAAGAGGTCCTACCATTAGTAAATGTCAGATAAATTGTTAAAATATCCAAAATTCGATATTATGAATAAACGACCTAATGTCTCTGAGATCGAGAGAACAGATTAGTGTTAACCTATGATAAAATAGTAGATTTGTATATATTTAGTAGCCGAATGAAATATGGCAAGCTATGATCTATGTCCCGTTGTTTATATCATTGATTAGCGATAGAATTTTAAGCTCACCCAGTCGGTACGACCGTCCTGTTAATTCCAACCAAGAAGCATCATAGGCTTGAAGAACCGAGAAGCAACTTCTTCAAAGCAGACCACGAGCTCATCAGTTCAGTAAAAATAAAAAAAAAGATGTGTGGTGTCGCGGGACACCGGATAGGAACGAAGTTCCTTATTATAAAAATAATAATTTTAAGTTCTATTCGAGGTATAAAGAAAATAAAACTGGAGGTTTCGCAACAACCCACGGTCATTCGGTAACGTGCGAACTTATTGTGGTACACTTCATACACGGTTGTTTGCATAAGAGTTAGTGTATTGCGCAAACGAACGCTCTGAGATCGTGGTCAATGAACGATAAAAAAAGATGTTATTTTTTGTACGTTATTACAAAGTTAGGTCGTACACTGTGTGCATTACTAATTTGTACCTTATTACAAAGTTAGTCGTACACTGTGTGCATTACTAATTTGTACGTTATTACAAAGTTAAGTCGTACACTGTGTGCATTACTAATTTGTACGTTATTACAAAGTTAAGTCGTACACTGTGTGCATTACTAATTTGTACGTTATTGCAAAGTTAAGTCGTACACTGTGTGCATTACTAATAAAAATCTTACGTTACGGACGTTTTTCCCCGGTTAGGGTACCCCTCCACATCGTCCCATAAGGAACTTCGTTCCAAAAATGACGTGTAGTTCACAAACGAAGAAAAACGCTTTTAGCACCCCGAGCTGATATGCATATAATAAGCTGATCCATAGTATAAAATAATATTCTATTCGCCTCGTAGAAGTAATTTAAACTACTTTTGCGATTCAATATCGCGTTCAATATTTTCATTTTATAAAACCTTACTCGCTGGTCGCGGACTATAAGAGTTTTGCTAACTACCGTCAAATTTTCTATAAACAATAAAATAATAAATAATAAATAATAAACGCGTATTTAAACCGTAAAAGTACTTTTAATCTTATGTGACAATGATATTATAAATTTGTCGGAGACGGTCATTAGTTTGGTAGCTAAACGAAACTCAGCACGATTCCCGAGAGATGGCAGCACGATTGCGGTATCGTCGGGTGGGGATTTAGTTCTCTATAAGCCGTTGCGCGGAGTGCTCGCATTGACGGATGCGTCTTGGTATACGGACCACTGTTTCTCGACAGTCAGTACTGCGCGGTATTTGATGTGGAACGTTGTCTTTGACAATTAGTACTGTCCCTATTGCGATAGGGTGCACGGAACTCAGTCCGTACTGCCTTATGTGACCGTTATCATTCTCGATTGTCATTTAATTAGTTCAGTCTCCATTTTTATAGTTCACTAATTGACCCGGCAGACTTCGTAGTGCCTCAATCAAGAAATAAAAGATCTAAGCTTTTGTAAGAAACTTAAAAGAAACAAAAGGAATCCATCCCACGGGGGGGGGACATCAAAGGGAAAACAAAATTGTTATTTTTATTTAATTCCGAGCATTTTCATATTTATCTACCTTTGAAACCTTCTCTGGACTTCCACAAATAATTTAAGACCAAAATTAGCCAAATCGGTCAAGCCGTTCTCGAGTTTTAACGAACAGCAATTAATTTATATATATAATCTAATATATAAAATTCTCGTGTCACAATGTTCGTTCCCATACTCCTCCGAAACCGCTTGACCGATTCTCATGAAATTTTTTATGCATATTCAGTAAGCCTGAGAATCGGCTACTATCTATTTTTCATACCCCTAAGTGTTTAGGGTTGTCCACCCCTAACATATTTTTTTTATTTGGACTTTTTGTTTTGTTATAATGAGATATTATGTGATTGAATGAGGTTTTGTTATTTTTATTATATATTCCCTCATCGTTCACAGCACTATATACCTCTTTCACTCATTTACCACATCCTTACACACTTACAATAAGTTAGTTTTTTTTCTACACTGGAAATTCCCTAGAAATCTTATATATGGCAAAACAAAGTTTGCCGGGTCAGCTATTAATATAGATAGATAGATAGATAGATTTAAATTGCTGGGTTGCAATCAGTGATTATTTAATAGTAATAAATTCCTATGTGCTATAACTCGGTTACATTCCTGATGTCTGAGTCTTAATCCGACAAATTTATTATTTTAAAAAACTTGGGCGCTAACTCACATTTGAGAAGCACTGTCCAATGTTGTCAACAACGGCCTCATTAGGGGTCCGTAATAGGGCGCGCTGCTTCTTACAACAAAATTATTATTTTAATTACGCTTTGTATTATACCTATTATACGCAATCACTGAAGCGATTGTTTCGAAGTGACGTTAACATTAGCTGTGTATTTTAAATAGTTTAATTATTCTAAAAATTGTTTGATGAACGTATTGACAGTCTAAATAGAAAAAGAACAAAGGTTAGCTTCATCATTACGTTTTACGGGTGTGGTACAATTATTTATGGATTTTATTTTTTATTGCTTACTAGCGGACCCCGTGAACTGTGTTCCGCCTCACAGTTTGTTTTAAACACGTCAACTTCAAAATTCTACGATAATTAACCATAGAATATATTACGTTTAGCTGTCAGTTGCGTTTTGTTATTCCATATCAGTTGCGTTTTGTTATATCACGTTTTATGTCACGTCCCACGGGAACGTGATAAAGTATCCTATGTCCTTCTCCTGGTTCTAAGCTACCTCCTCACCAATTTTCAGCCAAATCAGTTCAGCCATTCTTGAGTTATAAATAGTATAACTAACACGACTTTCTTTTATATATATAGATATTGGTGACGAGCTCACATCCCACCTGATGTTAAGTGGTTGCTGGAGCCCATAGACATCTACAACGTAAATGCGACACCCACCTTGAGATATAAGTTCTAAGGTCTCAAGTATAGTCACAACGGTTGCCCCACCCTTCAAACCGAAACGCGTTACTGCTTCACGGCAGAAATAGTGAGAAATAAGTCAAAATAGTTTTACAGTACCCGGCGTTAAATGTTGCACATCGTCAATCTTTGAATGGAGACAATCGGCTGATTTCGGCTTCTTGAAACGTTGCCTGAAGTCGACTAGCTAGCGCGGACCGAGAGTCTAACTATGTAAACAATGAAATATTATATAGGTACACACGCACGTACACACATGTAGTAAAAGTAATAGTAAAAAAAAGTAAATATTCGCGGTTCCTTCATTCGCGTTTTCACATATCGCAGAGTAAAAAAATGCGACCCAATTCCTATATTCGCGAATCTAATCGGTACATACACATTGATAAAAAGGATTCCAATGCTTTGTAAACGGGCTATTCCATATTCATAGTTTATGTATTCACGGCATATTTACAGAACATATACCCCGCGTATAAAGAAAATTTACTTTATTAAAATTAGAACTAATAATACTATGATCATTCCGTTGTATTATTCCCTGTCCTACGAACAAATGATATCTTGTAAGTAATTGTGATTGTATAAGCAAATGTATACATTTAGACGGTAGAATGTATGTATATTTTGTCTTAATTTGAAAATACTAGATACATCAAATTCGTCATCCTTCTCTAACTTCTGCGTCAGAGTGAGAGGAATATATCTGCTCTATCGAACGTGTGATACTTGAACTCATTTCTTTGTTTCCCAGTCCAATCCAAAAACTACACGTAAATATTTGTTGTAAGTATAACAGTTGATGTTCTGAGAATGAAAATTTGCTGTGTATAAATACAGAGTGTGTTTTAAATAGCTTGCAAAGCCAGAAAATTATTGTTCATTTTATAAGTTACCAGCTGACCCGGCAGACTTCGTAGTGCCCCAATCGAAAAATAAAAGACACATCAAGGGGACGACACATCAAAGGAAAAACAAAATTGTTTTTATATAATTCCGAGCTTTTTTATATTTTTTTCACCTTTTAAACCTTCTCTGGACTTCCACGAATAATTCAAGACCAAAATTAGCCAAAACGGTCCAGCCGTTCTCGAGTTTTAGCGAGACTAACGAACAGCAATTCATTTTTATATATATAAATTTCGTTGGTATTCTGATGTTACCAGTTCACCCGAGAATGGAAATCTCAATTCAATTATATGCAATTTTATATTCGGTATTACCGTCTGCTCTGGAGGTTTTCGTTTTTGGGTCCAGTTCAAAACATCCTGTATGAGCGGTTAATAAATGAATATGTCATACAAAAAAAAACCTTGTTACTAGTGAATAAGTTTTCACTTTAAACAGCATGTTTATATACTTAAAAATATATAATGTGTGTATTATTTACTAATCATATTGTAAATAATTCAGTGTTTGTGATATAAATAAGCTCATTTATTGTAACGTTGTTATATATGTAAATATATCGATAAATTATGTGAATGTTATATGTAAGTCGCATTATGAAATATTATAATTGTTCATTTTAATGAGTTCTTTTATTTAACCACATCCCTTTTTTTTCTCGATTTCTTCACAATCACATTTCATTTCAATTTACAATAAATTTTATCTTTTGATATTCAAATCCAAAGAACAACCTTTGGATTTGAATATTTTTTATTATTTGAATA